CCTGTTATGACTACTAGCTGGATTTGTTTCTTGGTCTTTCCGGATTTAAATCCTCCCCCATGCTTGGTTGCATCCATCTAGTTGCCTCCTGCCAGTTGGGGTTTTTAATTCTATTCTATTCTATTAAATTTACCAGTATTTGTTTCTTATTATTTGAGTAGAAAACTCCAAAACTTAACCTTACAGTCCTACACCAAATTCTTTAACCCTTTATTGTTTAAGTTCCAAGAGTGACCAAGATCAACTCTCCTTAACAACATCAATACATCATCATCATCAATAAAAAAAGCATACGAGAATTATTAACAAAATGGTCACCATTATTTCTCTTATTAAACTTTCCCAGCTATAAATCTTTACATGTAAGGAAATGTAAGGAGATCAGTTTGGAGAATTTGTGTGTGGGAAATATTTGGATATTTGTATGTGAATATTGTGGCTTAAAGGTTCTTGCCAAAGAACAAATTAACTATTATAGTTGAGTCGTGTAAGGGTGTGATCGTTCAATTTGTCCTCATCCTTATTGTTTAATCCAGAATTGTTAAAATATAACCCACAGGCTGTCGACCGTGTGAATGTAACAGTGCTGGAAGTGTCAACCTTATTTGTAACAAGACCACAGGCCAGTGTCCTTGTAAGACCTTTTCACTTGGACGCCAGTGTGATACATGTCCGTCTGGTTTCTATGGCCTGGCTGCCAATCACTCTGAGGGATGTCTTCAGTGCCAGTGTTCAAACAAAACGTCGAATTGTACTCGTGACTCAGGATGGCTCGTATCGGAGATTACAACCAGCCTTTCTGTTCTCTTTGACAACACCAATGTTGATGGATGGACTGCTAATAACAGTGTTCAATTTGTGCAAGTACATTTAGACTGGGGAACTCCAGTAGAACCTACCAGCAAGTAAGTGTAGTTCTTGTCATCTGATAGCTTACCCGAGGGGGCGAGATGTCCCCCTTTTGCCCGCTCGTGGGGGATTTCCCGCATTGGTCCGAAAAAAAAAGTTCTTTTTTGGCCTTTTAATAAATCCTTAGTTGATCAAGCTTGTTCGGTTAAGAGGGCTGGGTACTGGCCTAGTTCTTTTTTTTTTTTTGCGTTTTAGTGACCACGACTTCGTCTCGGTCCATAAAAATGCAAAAAAACGAACTCTGCCAATGTGCAGCCATCTTGACCTGAGGCTTGGTCAATAATGCATAAAAATGGCCTTGCGATCCAATTGATCCCTTGTGAGGTCGTTCTGAGTTGAATGGAAATGTAGGGACCAACTCTTAGACAGATGATAATTACCTGTATTGTGTCAAGGAGCCTCTGTTACCTAGGGTACTGCATATTAAGCAAACAAGCTTAAAGAGCTCCTTACCCAGCAAGAAAATCTACTTGTCCTGGATGACCAAGCGGCAATTCATGTCAAGCCTTGCTTCAAGCCTCCGTAAGCCGCAATTTTTTGCAAGGTTTATGAAGTTGATAGCCTTTAAAGTTACCACGCATTTGATAATAACAAGTATCGTCAATATGACATTTTTTCAGAGGATCAATGAGAGTTGAGACCAGTGGATCTGATGAATTCTATTTTATTGCTCCTGATAAGTACCTTGGAGACAAGAGGTTTGCGTACACCTTTACGCTGTCGTTCAAACTACAGCAGGACAATGCGACTTTTCCTGCAGCTTCTTCGACAGGGGATGTTATTCTTAAAGGCAGGTGGTTTGATCAGCCACTTGTTACAAGCCTTAGCACTCCACCGTCTACAGGAGAAAGTTTTACCAGTTATGAGGTAAGAGTAGATTGTAATATTAAGAGGTCAGCGGCATTTATCGTAATCGCTCAAATTTCCTCCCTCCCTGTTGACAATAACCGCCGCACTCCCCCTCCCCCCCCCCCCCCTTTTTTCCTTTTCCCCCCCCCTCCGGCTGGCATATTTTTTTTCCCCTCAAAAAAAAAAAAACCCGGTTCTTCAAAGGACATGTTTAACGGAACTCATTAAAATTTAATAAATGAGAGTAGCACCCAAATTGGGAAAAAAATAAAAAAAAAGAAGCAAAAAATAAAAAAAAAGGAAAAAAAAATTCACAA